TCTTCCTCCTGGAACAGCATCTTCCTGTGGGCCCGACACAGCAACAATATCCGTATCACTAAGGGATCGCTTGTTTGATCTGCCAATGGAGAATGGCTTTGTCCTGGGACAGCTGGCTGTGCATGGGAAGCACGTATCCAATATGGAAATCTAGGCTGGAAGTACTGGGGAAAAGCTGGTGGTTGGATTCTGGCATGCAATGGGTGGTGTCTGTCCTCTGGGCACTCCTGGGCAGCTCAGTGTGCAGGTGGCAGGAGTGGGAAGTTTGTGTGTCCCTCTCTCCCAAGGGCCAGGAGATGGATGGGGGAGAATCCCATGTCTGCCTACCCTCTCCTCTCACAGCCCTACGCAGGGTTCACCCCGATGCTAGCAATGAGGTCTGGCAGATGAGGGTTTGACGATGGAGCTGAATGCCATGGGGGCAAACCTGCCAGGAAGGGGAGTTGTGGGACATGGAGGTCCTCCGTGCCCCATCCCGTGGCCCTCAGTGGTCCTGATGCTCCTGGACACAGTATGTGCAGCTGCCAGCACTGCCAACTTGGGAAGTGCCATTTCCTGAAAACAACAGCAAAGGGCATGGCAGCACAGTGCAAAGGGCAGGATGGGGCTTGCTTGCTGCCAAGGCTGCATTCCCTCACATTTGTGCTAGGGTTAAAGGGAAACCTGCCCTTCTTGGTGCTTCCGATGGGGGTAAATTAGCTTCTGGGCTGTGAATGGGATAATGGGATGCTGCAGTCCTCCAGGACTTGGAGTCTGTGGGATAGGCCTGTCCTTGGCCAAGTGTGGGGATCATTAATTGCAATTAGTTGCAATTTCATCCCTGGAAGTGTTAAAAAAATATGTAGATGTGGTACTTGAGGACATGGTTTAATGGTGAACATGGTGGTGGTGCTGGGTTGATGGTTGGACTTGATGATCTTAGAGGGCTTTTCCAACCTTAACGATTCCATGATTCTAATTTGTCACTGCTGCTGCCTAAAATTCACTGTGTTCAGATCCCCCATCCCAGTGCTCCCAGGTTGTGCAGGGAGTGGCAGTGGGAGGCTGCTTGGAGTGTGCTGGGAACCCCCAAAGCAGAGTCCTCTGCTCCGGTAAAGACACCGTTCCTAGTTCTGTCATGCCTCTGCATAAGTCACCACTTCCCGTTTTCTCTCCTCTAGAGAGGGCAGCATGTGCCCCTGGGGAAGGAGTGGAAGGACAGATGAGGTCCATTGGGGCTGGCAAGGGGTGGGGAATCCTCTGTAAGGACATGAGAGGGTCAAAAGAATGGGGAGATGCTGTACCCACCAGGGTCAAGGGGCAGATCTGATGGCCCTTGCCCTTTGGATGTGTCCAGCCTGTGTTCTCAGGCACAGAAGTACTTTGGGTCTGATTGCTGAAAATACTTTTTATTTGGAGTTCTCCAGCTAGTCTTTGTGTCCTGGTTTGGTTTAGTGGAAGGTGTCCCTGTCTGTGGCAGGGGGTTGGAACAAGATGAGCTTTAAGATCCCTCCCAACCCAGACCATTCTGTGATTCTATGGTTTGGATGAATGGATCTGTTATAAAATGCAACAGGAATATTTTTCTCGCTTTCTGCCCTATCCTATAGGATTTTTAGATGTGCCCTGATGCCGCAGGGTCTCCTCACTCCTGGAAATGCAGCTCTCTTCCAGTGTGGCTGAACTCAGCTGTGACGAGACAATGGACCCACCTGCTGAGGACTTCCAACAGGTCCTGTCCATTGACCAAATCCGCTCCATCCGTGCCAGCAACAACTACGTGGAGAGACCAGCGGTCTGCTTCCAGCAAGCCCGTTCCAACCCCTCCCTGTCCCAGCCACCACACAAGCAGGAGTGGTCCCAGGACCGCCTGGTGTCTTCCACCTTCCAGGACCTGCACCGCAGCCACAGCCAACAGCACCAGATGCCACCTTTGCAGCCACACCTGAGCCATTCCAGCACAGCCAGCTCAGTCTCCCAAAGCACCACTGCCTCTGACCAGCGTCTCCTGAGCAGCCTGACGCCCTCCCACTCCGGGCACTCCCTCATCCGGACGCAGCCCTGCTCCAGTGAGCTGAAGGTGGAGGAGTCGCCGCTGAAGGGAGGGTCGGAGAAGCCCACCCTGCACACTGGCCACCTCTTCATCTGTGAGGAGTGTGGGCGCTGCAAGTGCGCGCGCTGCACGGCCGCCCGCAGCCTGCCCTCGTGCTGGCTCTGCAACCAGCGCTGCCTCTGCTCCCCCGAGAGCCTCCTCGACTACGGGACCTGCCTCTGCTGCATCAAGGGGCTGTTCTACCACTGCTCCACTGACGACGAGGACACCTGTGCTGATGACCCCTGCTCCTGTGGGCCGGGGTCCTGCTGTGCCCGCTGGGCTGCCATGAGCTTCCTCTCCCTCCTCATGCCCTGCCTCTGCTGCTACTTTCCCACTCTGGGGTGCCTCAAACTTTGCCAGCGGGGTTATGACGGCCTGAAACGACCTGGCTGCCGCTGCCAGAGCCACACCAACACGGTCTGCAGAAAGATCTCCTCCTCCAGCGGCACGCCATTCCCCAAAACACTGGACAAGCCGGTATGACCCTCCCAGGGAGGAGAAGCAGGCTTTGCTCCTCTTCCTCTCCTCTCCCTCCTCCTCCTCTTCTTTCCTCCATCCTCCTCCTCCTTCAGCACCCTCTGCTCTGCAGTGCTCACTCCTACCCATCATCATCTTCTGGGATTGAGACAGGTGAACTGGGGGTCCCCCAGGCTCTGGGACACCCTGGCTGGGCAGCTGGAGCAGCTGACACCTAGCTGGGGGGTAACAGTGGTTTTGCACGTGTGGGAGAGTGGCAGGGGAGGCAGAGCAAGCTGTGATTGCACTCCCTGGCTGTATCCCATAAGGAAGGGTGACCCAGGGGGTCCTTGTGACTCTGCCCCCATGGGAAGGGTGGCCGGGGGTCCTCAGGACTCTGCTCTCAGCAGGTTCAGAAGCTGCCACTGCCCCACGGTGTGGTCCTTCTCCAAGGGGGGGAGAGGCAGGTCGATGCATCCCCTGTGCAGGAGTCCCCTGGGAGCTAGACCTCCTCTGGCTCTTCCTCCCTCTCCAGCACTTTCTGTGGGTGGCCTTTCTCCTCTCAGGTGGCCATAGGTCTGCTTTCCTCCGAAGGGCTGGAATGTTGAGGGGGTCTCACCTGTGGCAGCGGCTTCCCTCTGGGTTTGGGAGCTGCTGGGAGAAGTGAGAGAGCTCCAATATGAGGTGGCACTGTGTTTTTCTGTCTCAAAGAGGAAGGGAAGGTGTAGGAAGCTTTAGAAACCTTCTGGCAGGGGAAGGAGCTATTGGAGGCAGCCCAGCCCACTCGCTCCTGCCCGACTGCAGTGAGGGAAAGGTCCCCTCTGGGATTTGGCTGAGAACAAGGAGCTGGTTGGAAATTGCCATTCATTTCTCCGGGCCTTGGAGGACTGCCTGGGGTGGAGATGCTGCCTGGCTCCATCCCACCACTGAGCAGATGCCACAGGCACCAGCTCCATGCTCACACCCCAATCTGGTACCTTCCACCAGCACTGAGTTCACTTTTAAAAAAAGATGGCAAAGCCAACTGTCAGCAGCTGATGCTCCAGGGACTCCTCAGTGGGGGTTTCTGTTGCCCTGCTTTGGGCTGGAGGACATGGAGAGCAGGAGGGCATGCCAAAATTGGGGACCTGACCTTCCCTCCCCACAGGTGTTACCTTTGAGTCCTCACCTTGCTGAGGGGGTTCTGCATGGTGGCCACCCACAGACAACTGGGGACGGGGCTGGACCAAGCCCTGGGGCTGGGCCATCTGCAGAGCAGACGGACACCTGAATCTGTGTCAGGGCTTTGTGTTTCCTTGCTGTGATGGTAATAAGCCCAACTGGTTGCTGTGGTTAGGGGGCTCCTCCTGGTCCTAGGCTCAGTCTCATCTCTGCATGGCACCAGCTCCCAGTTGTGACCCCGCAGGCATGGTTTGGGGGAGTTTGGAGCTGGAATAGTGTCCCAGAACTTGGCTCTGCTTGCCTGTCCCTCTTCTGAGGTGTGTGAGCGCAAAGAGAAGTGAATGGATTCCCTGGAGAAATATATGCAACACGTCCCTTGGCTTCTCCAAGACCCTGCATCCAGAGCTCATCCGTCACCTCCTCCCAGCCACCTCTTTCCGTAGAGTTCTGTGGATCTATTTTTGTATATATAAATATAACGTTAGGATGGGTAGGACTATTACTAATAATATTCATGATACTGCTGTGAACAGTGCCAGATGCAAGGTTTGGCTTTCCTGGTACACTTGCACATGCTGGAAAAGACGATTTCCCAGTCTGTTTATTGCTAATCCTAGACCCTTAGTTCCTAGGTTGTTGGGAGAGGGGGAAAGGGAGGTAGGTGTATGGATTGTCTTGAGTGGGTCTGCTCTGCAGTGAGAGGGTGGGATTCAGTGCTGCCTGTGGGGTGAGGCAGAGGTGGACTATCACAATGGGATTCCTCTTTCTGTCCATTTGCTGTCTAAAAAATCCTGGCGGATCCAAGCTCCCTCTGTTGCGGAGAAAAGCAGTTCCAGGGAGTGATTCATCCCACTTGGAAGCATTATTCATTAAATTCTATGCTGGCAGTGCCTGGCTTCCTTGACTCAAATGGCACCCAAACACAGGTTCCCTGTGGAAGGGGGGATGAATCCCATTCCTGGTGGGAAGTTTGTGCCGGAGAATATTATGGACATGAGCGAAATCCTCACCCTGGTTTCACCCAGAGCCCGAGGCAGGGATGTGGTAAGAAAGATCTGGCCAAAGATGGAGATCCTGCTTCTGTGAGCTGTGGGGATCTCAAGATGATGCTCTGGGACATAGAAACATCTCCTGGCATTAGGAAGGGCCTGACATCCCTGAGGCCAGCCACGGACTCGGAATTTGGAATAGTTTGGATTTTAAGACCATGACCTGCTCAGAGGTCAGGACACCCTGTAGGTGTGTGAAACCCCTTAAGGTAAAGCCACATCCCTGTGGCAGCAGATATAAAATATATTGCAAATATATTTATCCATATGCCAATAATTGCTTGGCTCCCTACTTCCAAGCAATGTTTGGAAGACAGCGATGTTTGGGAGAGAGACTTCCACAAGGAGGCACCTTCCTTTGGAAGGCTTGGTTCACTCTTCTATTGGTGCTGATTAAACTCCTTCCTAAAAAACAGAAGCCCTTTTTAGGGAGAAAAGGTCCATTTTTCTCTGTGGGTTGGAGGAATTGTCTCGCTTGAATGAGAATGTAAAACAGTTCATTGAAACTTTTTAAAGAAAACTAATGAACAGAATTTTCCAACTTGCTCTACTTTGATTTTTTTTTCTCCTCCTTTTTAAACGGATCCCACTTGTAAATTTAGTTACCACCTCTGTATCTTTGCAATTCATTGCTTCCTCTCCTGATGGTGGAATGACTCAACATGTGAAGCTTCATCATTTTCACGGCCTCCCAAGTCATGCGAGTGCAGGGTGACCTCCCCCAGGTGCTAGAACTGGAGAATGAGGAGATGGCTGTCCATGGATCACCTTCCCAGTGCCAGCTTTGCTTGGCATGACTCTTGCAGCATATTTACCTCCAGGAGTTGGTGGGAGGCCAGGATGTCTGCCATGAACCTTCCACGTAATGGGCTTTTTCTGGGTCAGTGCAGAAGCCCCATTCCCACGAGGGAATGGTGCCACAGCCTGGGTGAGGACTGAGGAGTGTAGCCAGGACTCCAGAATGTCCAGTCTCCAAGAAAAGACAAACCTGTGAGATATACTTTATGAAATACTGGACACATAGAAGGGGAGTGATTTAAAAGACATGTAGATGTGGTACTTGGGGACATGGTTTAGTGGTGGACTTGGCAGCACTGGGGGAATGGTTGGAGTCAATGATCATAGAGGGCTTTTCCAATGTAAATGATTCCACAATTCTATGAATTGGAGAGGAGGAGAGGCACAGATGGGCACTGAGGACTGTCAGACCAGCACAGGGCTTTGGTTTGACTGAGGGCAAGACATAAAGCCACATCCAGGACTTGCTTGGGCTGGAGAAGTTCAGAGCTGTTCGCCTCTGCCCTGCTCATAAGGGCAGGTGGCTTCACATGAGGTTACTGCTTCCTGCTGTATGTGGAGGTCCTCAGCACTCCCCCCTTCCTTGCTCTCAGCAGATGGGAGAGGTTGGGATATGCCAGAAGCTCTCCAAGGAGGCCAGCTCTGGTTCACTGAGCTTGTCTGCTGTGTGGAAGGCTATGGGCAGCTTCATATTCTTTTCTTGAGCTTTTCTTAACATCTTCAGACCAGATCCATCCTGCTCCCTCTCCACCTCCAGCTGCCAGAAGGTTTGGTTTCCCTGCAGAGAGGACTCCAGTTCTGGTTGGGGTTGTGAGCCCCTTTCCTGCCCCACCCTCAGTGAGTCAGATCACATCTGCTCTGGGTGTTTGTTTGCAGCTGCTTGTCCTGGCAGTTGGGGTTTCTCTTTGTCCTGACGTGTCTTTTTTGGTTTTCTTTTGGGAGCGTCACATGTCAAGCCCTCTGCTCTCCCACAGGGACGGATCTGCTCTGTGAGGGAACATTTCTGTGTTGTGTGTCTCTCCCAGCTGTGGGCTCCTTTGCCAGGGAATGTGCAGGGCTGTGGGCAGATTTATACTGGGAAAGAGATTCAGGTGCCAAAGGAGCAGGAGACAGGAGCTGCTGAGCAGGACCTGAGCTCCCCCTGTTCTGCTCCCCATCTAGAGCCTCCACTTCCAGCCCAGACTTCCAAAAGCTCCATCCATGCAAGAGGTCCTGATGGTGTTTGTTTTCTCCAAGGCTTCCCTTGGTCCCACTCCTCTCCTTCCCCACTGACAAATCAGTCCCAGCGCTGGTGATGCGGTATCATGGGGACCAGGCTGGAGTCTCCCTCCCATTCCCAGCTCCCCAGCCCTCCTGGTGGAGGGGCAGAAGTGGTCCTTGGGCTGCTACCCATCCCTGAGAAATGTCAGTACCAGCCAGTACCTCAAAGAACAGGGATAAGCTCTTTGTGACTCTCAGATTTCCATAAAATCCCATTGAGTTCACTCTTCCCCATCCCCAGGTGTGAACACAAATACTGGAGGGCAAGTGTCATTGACCAGAAGATGCCAAAGCCCAGAATAACAGATCATGAACAGCTCTTTGTGTGCTAGAGAGGGATGAGCAGGGGTGAGGGGAGCTGCTGTGGGATTTGCACAGGGAATGAGCACACTGTGCCCAAACTCACTGTTCCCAGTATCCTTGTTGTCAGTTTGCTCTGTCTCTGGCCATGGGGTATTTTGAGGCTGCAGAAAACTGAGAGGTCTTCAGGTATTGGAAGTTCCAATGTTTGTGATCAGCATGTGATAAAGGCTGTACCCCCACCCCAAAGCCCATCCTTGGTCTTTAACAGGATCCAATTCAGGCTTGTCTCATTCAAGGAGCCCGCAGAGCCCAGGCCTGTGGTCTCACAGCAGCTGGAGGCTGCTGGTCAGCACCTGGTCCACATGGGCCAAACCTGAGCTGTGACCTCTTGGGACTCAGTCTGCTTTGGAGTATTTCTCCATGAATATCAGGATCTCTTGCAAACTGTCTCCCAGA